TCTTGTCATTTGGTCATAGGCACTAGCATAAGGGAGTAGCAGATAACTTGTCAGTATAGCATGGGATAAGAAAAAGAGGTAAAGACACCTTTTCTAAACCTCTGATGGTGAGGAAACATGGCTTTTGTTTGAAGAGAGACAGTAGGAGGCAGTGATAGAGTCAGAAGTTGAAACAACAGTCTATGTGGCATCATTTCTCTCTAATAATACTTCCACTGTCTCAGTTCAAGGGAAAATACAGCAAAGCATATAAGGCCATTTGGTGTGATCTAGAATTATAGGACAGAAATATTTACACTATTAACTCCATTTCTTGCTGGAAAACATTAGGATTTTTCAGATTGTTTATGACCAAATTTTGGTTACTAGCTTGTTCCTCCTGATTACATATAACATATGTTAATATGTTACATATTACTAAGACACTATTTAGGTCTTTGGTTGCTTAAGCATTTTCTCATATACAGATTAAATATCTCAGATTTTGTACTTTTTGAGGCAGAAACCAGTCATTAAGGCTGAGATCTAGACATATTTTTCAGTTATGTGTTTATTACTTATTGACTAACAAATAATGCATTATCACCAAGGAACTTGATATCCTTATTCACTGCTTATAGATTCTCACCAATTACACTGTAAAAAAAATTCAATATGAACAAATCAGTATGAATAAATGACAGATTGAAGATTTATTTTCTGTCTTAAACAGTTATTTCTGATTAAGGCATAACAGATATAGGCTAATTTTTTTAGTTTAATATAATGTGAGAAATAAGGTATGTTAAGATGACAGATTCACAGTACAATTCACAGCAAGTCTTAGCAAACAAAGCAGCTTATAGTGTCATTTATTCTCACTGTAATGGTTCAGACTTTATTACAGCTCTTCACCTCTAATGGGGATTCTTTCAACCTTCAATTTCATTCGTGTTCCAAATTCAGGATATTTCACATTTACCTCATTATCACAGAGGACAGTTAACCATCCCAAATTTTATCCAAAGTTGATGTAGAAATGAGCCTGGATTTTAGAAAAACATTCTTTCCAAAAGCGAGAACTAAAAGAATGCCAGCTTTCTCTTTAATTGGATTAAAATTAAAGAAGATACACCTAAAGTTTAATCCACTCACTGCCTTGCTTATTACAGCAAATGAATGACTTTTCATGCTATGAACTGAAAGGTGTAGGTTGGAAGGGAAACTAGTATAATACTGCTAACATCCCAAATTTCAAATAAAAGTATTCCATGCCTTTAAGGAATGGAAGAGTCTCACTCATGAGGCTAAACTACTGATTCTTGCTATAACCCCAGAAGCAATGACTTTTCATAATTAATGCATTAAAACGTTTGTTTTCTTCTGAGCATTAGCAATATCAGTGTTGATATTTAAAGCCTAAAATATTGGTCTTGACATTGTTTGACTCTCCAGAGATGTGCAGATGACAGACCTGAAAAGCCTCAGGGCCTTATTCTCTTCTTTCTTTTCTTCTGGAGATCGGGAACAAATTCCTTAAATCAATGGTCTTAAGGTCAGTATAAAACTGTTCGAAGTAGGAAAAAGAGCAGATATCTCTCTTTTAAAATGCATCTGTAGAGGTTTAGAAGACTCCAGGCAACACAGGTAAGTAGCAAAGCTAAATGCCATCTAGTTGCAAGACACATCTCCAAAATGTCTGTCACTAGGATAGGCAGCTCTTGTACTATAAACCACAGCAATCTCCCACAAAAAGTGTTGCCCAAAATAATTTAAATTAATTATCATATTTTTCTACATATATCTTATGGATCACGTGTAAAAACAACAATCCTGTGGTTCAGTGTCAGTGTGGGTTTTGCACATACAGCAAACGCAAGAGGAAGTCTATCCTAGAAATGCTTCTCACCTAGTAACACTACTGAAATTAGTCCTCTAACCTATTCACTCTGTCCCCAAAAGCACACTGATTCTTACTGTCACCTGCCCAATTTTTTCTGGGGAGGGTTGTTTGAGAACATAAATTATCTGAGGATTATGAGGATGATTTCTTCATAGCAGCTAGTATGCGGTTATGTTTGGGATTTGTGCTGGAAACAGTGTTGATAATTCAGCAATGTTTTAGTTACTGCTAAGCAAGACTTGCACAAGAGTCAAGGCCTTTTCTGCTTCTCCCTCCAATCCACTTGTGAGGAGGCTGGGAGTACACAAGGAGCTGGGAGGGAACACAGCCACGACAGCTGACCCCCACTGACCACAGGGGCATTCCATACCATATGGTATCATCCTCAGCATATAGAACTGGGGGAAGAAGGAAGTGGGGGATGTTTGGAGTGATGGCATCTGTCTTCCCAAGTCACTGTTAGGCATGATGGAGCCCTGCTTTCCTGGAGATACTTGAACACCTGCCTGCCCATGGAAAGGGGTGAATGAATTCCGTTTTGCTTTGCTTGAGTATGTGGCTTTTTCTTTACCTGTTAAACGGTCTTCATCTCAACCCATGACTTTCCTCGCTTTTACTCTTCATATTCTCTCCAGCATCCCACAGGGGAAGAGTAAGCAAGTAGTTGTGTGGTGTTTAGTTACCAACTGGGGTTAAACCATGACAAGAAGAAAGGTATGGTGATATTCTACCTACTCCAATGTTTGAGAGGAAACAGAGGTCACGAGCAAGAACCGAACAAATATTTTTCCTTGTAGATTTACAAGCCCCAGCCTTTCCAGAGACAGTACTAGAGCAGCAGTGAAACCAGTGCTGGTTCATGTCACACCCCTGGTCCACATTTCATCATCTACTGACAGGACAGGCAAGTGAAGTTTCCATATCTCTTCCACAGCAACAATTTCCATAAATTCTTAAGAAAATTTCTGATTTTCTTCTTGTAGAGACATTGCATCTACTTGGGATTTGATGGGCATATATAATCCTTTCATTCATTGCCTCTGCGATACACAGCTGCGTCTCAGAGATTTTGACATCTTTGAAGTACACATCTGTCTGTAGACCTGTTCTCTCACTAGTTGACATGGAATACATGTTACATCATATACAAACCAAATTACAGATCCAGTAATAGCTGAATGAACAGTTAGAAATCACTTGAAAGTGATTCTTCACCCCTTGAATCAAAACAAGCTGAACAGCTGGAAATGCAATGTTTCAAACTTCTGAGGAATGTTACCTTTCTCTTTGCTAGTCCAGAATTGCTAGCATGTGGTCTCCTTGCTAGAATAAGGTGATAATGGAGGATGTATTTAATGCAGAAGCCACTGGAACCATCAGGAGTATAATCATTATAAAGCACACACTGAGAACTGACAACACACTGTACAACCATAAAGAAACTGTATCTACTTAGGATTTGAAGTACTATTGCAGGATGGATGGTAGCTCCTCCCTGTCTTGAGGAAAGCACATCCCAATAAAATTTAGATATGCTTATACCAAGTTCAGTATCACCCTTTTTTGGGGGAGATGCATTAGGTAGAATTATGGTGAGATAAAAGGCAATGGCAACACTTAAATCCAATCCATTTTAAAAAATGAAATAAAACCTGCTACCAACGCAAACCAAGTGCAGAGTTGCTTTTATTTTTCCCAAAAAAGATATTTGATTTACAAATGTGGAGAGCTCCCATGCAGGCTGGAGTCAACCCCTCTTCCAAGCCCATCTGCTGGATTATCCCGTCTGACTGGAAGGTGCGAGCACCACAGAGCTGAACTTTGCCGTCCCTGGGTGGACACGAAGGGTGGGCGTGCGGCCGCAAAAAAACCACCCAAAACCCAAACAAAGCAACACTAAGCGGAAAAAATGAAAAGCTGAATCATAAAATGTAATTGCATCTGAGGTAAAAAACCTCACATCACGGTGAATCGCTCCGCGCTCCCGCAGTTCCCGTCCGGCTCTCACAGGGGAGCAAGGAAGGCGGGCACACGGCCCCATATATCGGGGTCCCCGCCGCATCCGCGGCATCGTGACCGGCACACCCGTGACCGACACACCCGCACCCCCTCCTGCGCCGCCTCCCCGGCCGCCCCCGGCGGTGACTCCTCCCTCGCGGCCACGGCCCCTCAGCTCGCCCGGACGGAACCGGCCGCGCTACGAAGCCGCCGCTCCGGCGGGGGTGGCGACAGAGCGGCGTGGGGAGGGGAGGTTCTCCAGCCGGCTGGTCCCGGCGGGAGCGGGACGCAGCTCCAGGCGGCTCACCGCGCTCTCCCCGGGGGAGCGGGAAACTTCCCCGGCAGGCAGGAGGTAGAGAAGGAGCCGCGTCCCCACCCTGAGGCTCAGCCTGCCCCTTTCCTCGGCTGCCGTCCCATCCGCTGTCTGCTGCCAGACCTGCCCCGCGCCCGCCGGGCTCGTCCCGGCTGCCCCGCATCGCCCCGGCTGGCGACGGGGCTGCCCCGGCTCCGCCCGCCTCCGCCGCGTCCCGTGGGGAGCAGCGGGAAACGGGGGGGGGTCGTTTCCATGGAGATGAGGCAGCAGCCAGGAGGTTGCGGAGTGGAACTTTGCCGCGGGCGGGCGGCGGGGGCCGAGCCCCGGCGGCGCTGAGCGGAGCGGTCTGGCCAGCGGAGGGGTTGCGGGAGCGGGGTCCGTCCCCCCACATCTCCCCCGCGGCAGCACCGGGGACGAGCGGCTCCCGGGCACCCTCGCTGAGGAGCGGGGAAACTTTTGCGCCGCGGAGCTGCCGCCCGCCCACGCCCCCCTCGGCGGCTGCCTGGCGGCCGTTCCCCCCCGCAGCTCCCGCGGAGCGCTGCTATGGCACCCGCCCGTCGCCGCGGGGCGAGCAGGGGGTGGCCGCCTCCGGCTGGTCGTGCGGTGGCGGCGGCGGGGGGGGCGCGCAGCCCTCGATCGGCGGGCGTTTTCCTCCGGCCGGCAGTGACCGCCCCAGCCCCGCTCCCTGCCTGCTTGCCATGCCTGCCCCCGCCCGCCTCTCGCCGAGCACGGTGCCGGGGAAGGGCGAGGGGAGCCGCCGCCCTGTCACTCCCTGAGCCAGCCGTCGCCTCACCGGAGGAGCCCCGTGTCTGGCGGGCGCGGCGCAGCCCCGCAGGTCGCTGCGCCAGGAGGGCTGCGGGCACCGCGCACCTCCCCGCAGGTAAGCGGCGGGGTGGGGTGGGGTGCGTGTGGCGGGGGTCTGTCCTTCGCCCCCAAACTTCAACCTGCCTGCAGCCGTGACCCCTCCTCGGGGGCGGAGGGGCCGCGCCGTGCCCGTTCCAGCCGGGGGGCACTGGGAGACGCGCCCTGTCCTCGGCAGCGAGGGGCAGGGAGAGAGCGGGCACGGGTGGGTGGCTTTTTCCCTGCCGGGAATAGACTTTCTGCCTCCCGAGCGGAGCGCGCTGGCGTGCCGGCTGCTGGCGTGCCGGCTGCTGCCGAGCTCCGCGCAGCTGCTACACACCCTCTTTTGTCTGCGCTCGGCTCCGGAATACTTTAGGTGCTGCTACCGCCTGCCCCGCCGGTCGGGGGCCCGGCCCGACCCCGCCGAGGGGCTGCTCCCGGGCTGCGCCCCACGCGCTGCTCCTGCACTGGCGAGAGTTGCCCCTTTGCCTTTATTTTCACCCGAGTTGGGCTTTCCTTAACCTTTGTTTGCGGGGAAAATGGTGGTGTGCTGGTTATCTGGAAGGATGAGAGACAGATGGGGACGACAAAAGGGATTGCCCTATTCCCTTGCGTGCGAGCATAACTCACTGCTAAATAAATCGCTCACCGGCTAGACATAAGCTTACTAGTGAGACAGACTTTGAAACAAAAGTACTGCAAACAGCTCGAGTGCATGACAGATACTCCTCATATCCTATTAACATAACCATTGTTAGGATTTGCGCTTGAATTCAATACGTGTGCAGCTGTTCTGCAGATCTGGAATTGCAGGAGCTGTATTAACTTGGCACTTAATAGTCTTACTGAATGCAGTGGTTATGAAAAATAAAAAGGGTTTTACTTTTCAAAGGCAGAAGTATCCAGACAAAAGTATTCCTTTAATGAAGCATTCTGTATAACATGAACTACAAAATAACCTGTAGCGATGCAGCGGATTTGCAGTTCATAATGCTTTTAGGACATGAGGACTATATTGTTAATAAAATTCTGTCAGTGAAGATTTTGTCTTTTCTGGCCTATCCTGATGCTAGATCAATACACTAGCAACTATTCTGTTCTTTTTCTTTGTGCTTTTCTTTGGTGCTTCCAATCCATGTGATGGAAACCAAGTGTCCAGATAGAAAGAAACAGTGCATTTTCTTTCTTTTAGTTATTTTGGGCTGCTTTGTAGAAAGTGGGGGGAACAAAACCCTAACATTTAAACCAGAAAATTATATTTCTATTGAACGTAACTTAAATTCCTCGATAATGAAGCAAAGGGTCTTTCAAGTTTGGCACAATTTAGTGTACTTCTTGTGTTGCCAGGAAATGTACTTCTAGCTAAATACTTGTTAGAAGATAATTGTAAGATAATTTTTAGTAATTCAAAACATGAGTTACAATTAGATTTTTGTCCTGAGAACAGAAAAACGCCCTCATGGGAAAATATATGTGGTACCTAAATAGTAATTTGGAAAATAAAAGCATATATAATTTATATTTTGTTGGCATAGAAACACGTTTTATTTGTTGCTCCTTTGTTGGCTTGCAACAATGATCCAAATGAAAGTTGGAAAAGGACTACTGATGGAAGAGTTCAACATACTATAATTATTTTATTCTATGTACAGAAATGGTTTTGCCCAATACAATCTTGCTGGAATTGGAACAGAGCTTCATTTTTATGGAAGCTCTGTAATCAGATTATAAAAGGTGGGCTGTTTGAATCTAATTCTGTGAAGTATGGGCTAAGCAAGCTCTGCTCTGACGCAGACTGAAATGTATGCTTACTCTTAAGCAGGTAAGTAGTTGCAACTTCCATCCCTAATGATCACCTATGGTGCAAGTTCATTGCACATGGCAATAGGTCCTGGTAACTTCAGTGAAACTGTTCACTACCTTAACTGCACTGCTGAACCTTTCCTGGACCAAGCCATCTTTCAATGTGGTCTGCTTCTACTTCCTTGAATGCTGGCCATACAAAAAAAAAACTACCTGTGCTGTGCGCAGATGCTCACCTCAGCCACGTCTCATGGGTTGTATATTCTCTCTTGACTCATACCTCTCAGAAGGGGAAAATGAAAAGTGAAAATTGGTTAAGGAGTAAATTACATCAATGGAACAGCAGAAGGCGACTGCTACTTGTTGTGCTTCGTTCAGTATATTTTAGGAGCCAGAAATCTGAAATGCTGCAAATCAGTAAAACTTCCATTAAAATTACTGAAACCAGGCAAAGTTATGATATAAAAAATATGAAATGTAAAAGTTGTTGTCATGATAGTTTTCTTTTTTTTTTTTTTTGTTTTGTTAAACAGAAGAATCCTGTCGATCTTGTCTATGATAGTGGTAGAGAATGTATCAGAAGAGGAACTTTGTTTCCTAGCTAGTGATGATGCCTTCATTTGATTTGGTGCCATTATGCTTTATAAACAGACCAGTTACTTTTAATCTATGTTTGACCTCATGATACTGGAAGAAAGGGGCAATTGCAAATCAATTTCTAGTGTGAAGCATTACAGAGTAAAAGTATGATTAACTTGTGAAAACGTAGATGTCTCGTGCCAGTTTAAACACCTTAAGGTGTTTCAGACCTCTCTATGAGGCTGGGAAACAGAGTCTAAGGAGAACACTTCTGGAAAGGCAGCTGAAGACCAGGTAGGATATCCTACTAGATAATGTTTGCACTACAGTTCTGCATAAGAGCCTTTAAGAAAACTTCATTCTGTTTTCTGAAACCTTGTTGTTAAGAATTCTGATGCTGCGATATGATGAATATGGGAAGAAATCCCTTACTATCAGGACTTAGGGAGGTCCATTGTCAATGCCCATTTGTCAGCAGAATCTCTGTATTACTTGCTGTGCTGCTAACTGGAGATTGTCTTTGAGTAACCCAAAGATACTAATGAATAGCTTAAAAGTTAAAAATCTTCTGAGAAAAGTTTACATATTTTAAAACATAGACTTGTGTTCACTCTCCAAGTCCACTAGAAGTAAATGGAAATTGCAGACAGTGCCTGAGTTAGTGCTTTAGTTTTAGTAAGTGCTTTAGTTTTACAATAAAAATACTGTAAGGAAAAAGTTTCTGTTTTAGTTCTTTACTGGATAACACATAAGAACCTAATTGGCCAGAGATTGTGTGGGTTAAGTGGACTGTTGATCGCATGGAAAGGTGAAATGCTGGCAACGTCAGTGAATTAAACTACTGGACAGGTGTTTTACACAGCTGTTATTCTTTCCACTGTTTTTCGGATAGGTGAATCTCCCCAGAAGCATCTTAAGTGACCTGATGACAGAACTAAGTACTGAAATACTCACATTATACTGGTTTTTTAGTATAAATTAAATTACATTTTCCTTCCCAAACTTTCTTAAGGATCAGTGATTTTAAACTTCATAATTTTGCCTGGATGCCTTTTCTTAAAAATCCAGATTTTCTCTTTTTAGCACAGCTAGCCGAATGAGATGGATAACCTGTAGTACAGAGCTACTTGAAGCCTTTTATCTGCAGCAGTAGCAGAACCTGTTTGTATCACTCAGTTTTCTTATTTTGGTCTTTTGCTGACAAATATTATGAAGAGCACTTGATATTTTTTGAAAATAGTTCTACGTCCAGAAGACCTGATAAAGAAGGATGTTCTTCTTCAGTCATTTCCTCTATTCATCTCTGTTTCTAGCTGAGGAAAATTGTTGTTCCTTTTTTCTCTGTGTTTTAGTACCTAAAAATGTGTGACAGGGAGGTCAAACTGGGCATCTGAGGAGCATTGCAAATGAGATGTAATGATATAGCAGAGATTTTCATGAAAAACAGACTTGTAAAAAATAAAGCAATATGCTACCTTTTCCTGTATAAATGCTCTGAAAAGTTTTATGAGAACTGCAAATGGTTATCACTCTACTCTTTTGTGTCTGTTTATATCAACATCTTGTTAATATTTATATACCACTGGAACTTTAGTCAATTGTTCCTTTTGTCGGAAATATGACCATTTTAATCCAATTAAAATAAGCAGAAACAAAGGAGATGTTTCTCTGCATTGTCTTTTAATTTTTCATCACTAAGCTCAGTGATGAAACTCTTAACTGAATCAGAGAAACTAGGATTTTGTCACTTCAGTGAAATATGTCTTAGATACATACAGATACATTTAGATACAATAATAAAACAAATTTTAAAAATCACAAGAGATGTAAAATATAGCATAGGTTACTTTTCATAGAAACCAGTTTAAAGACAACTAGAACGGAAGAGGAAAAATCCCTTTTTATATGAATTTGCTTTTTCACAAATACAGTTGCACTGAGCATCTCAACGCTATGGTTTTAAAACCCATCACTAAAAAGTGCTAAAATTTGAATCTGTTGAAACTGCCTACTTCTGTATTCACTCTGGGTGTGAGGAAGAACACTTTCACCAAAGAGTTGATGTAGTTGGGTGCTAATAGCCTGTAAGTTCTGGCAAGTGGTTAGTGGCACTTAATTCTTTTAAGTAGTAGAGGTTTGTGCTTTGATACCTGTGAATCTGTAGCATTAGCTTGAAGAGGGGGTATGAAATCAAAACAGGGTCTTTAGAGCTTTTCAGTAGTAGTCACACTACTTTTTTCCAATAAAGGGTGGAATTCCAAAAGTAATTTAAACTTTTGTCAATTTAAACCATCATCAAAGCATATTAAATAGAAGGCTATTAAAAATGTCACTTATTATAGTGAAGTTGGTGTGATAGTGGTAACAGTAATATAATATTTTTTCACCTTCTCCATCTGAATGTGTCTGAATAAGTTGCTCTGCTTATCTGTAATCAGTAGCACATTGCTGAAAAACAAGTTTGTATCTAATGAATTTTATCACTTTCATTTTACTGTGTATTAAATGAAAATAAAAGTGCTGTTACTTGTCCAGCCATGTAGTTGCATGTATAAAATTGCTGCTCCATGCACTGGAGTTTTCTCTTTCCTTTGTGTAATTCAAAGTAACAAAGGCATATTGCATATTATAATACAGAGGAAATATACAAAAAAGTAT